ACTAAGAAGATCATGGCAACCCAGAAACCGTAAACGGATACTTGGTATAGTGTTACAGCTAGTGGGTATAGAACAGCGATTTCAAGATCGAAGATTAAGAATAAGATACCAACTAAGTAGTATTGAATAGCAAATGGAGCCCGTACTTGCCCGTAGATTGGGTTAAACCCACACTCATAAGGAGTTACTTTCTCTGTATCCGGTCGGTGAACCGCTAATAGAACGTTAAGTGCTAGTAGGATTGCAACCAAGATAGGTACAAAGATTAATAGAACGATCATTGTCATTAGTAACTATAGATTGACATTGCCATTAACTGAGTGCTGTTTAAGATTAATGATGGTTGTAGTACAAATAGAACGATAGCTGCTGTTAGAACAGCAATTAGGTAACTGTGTGTACTTGTGATTACTGATGCTGGCTCGGCTTCGCCGAGCAAGTAAGAAGACTCATCTGTGTTATCACTTGTTGTGTCAAAGTATAATACTCGAACAACTCGTAGGTAGTAAGCAGCACTCACTACACTAGCTAGAATTGCAACTAGTGAAATGAAGTAGTATCCGTTGTGGATAGCTGTGTATAGAACTGCATACTTAGCAAAGAATCCCATTAGAGGAGGAATTCCTGCCATAGAGAATAGACAAATGATCATACTTAAAGCTAGAACAGGGTTATGTCGGAACTGTCCTGCTAGTTGTGAAATGAATTGTACGTCACTGTTTTGTGTTGATTTCTTGCTGTAGATTAGGTAACCAAAAGCTAATAAGATTAAGAATCCGTTTAAACTAGTTACACTGTATTGGATTAAGTAGAATAAGAACGCGTCGATTGACTCTTGTCCACTAACAGCTAGTGCTAGTAACATGAACCCAACGTGTGAAATTGTACTGTAAGCTAATAGTCGTTTGATTCGGAATTGTGCCAATCCTACAACAGTACCAATGATTAATGATAATAATGAACAAACTAATAATAGAGCTTGCCATACGTTCACTGTAATATCACCAAATGATAGTCCTAGACCATCAGTTAATGAGTTAAGTGTTAATAATAGTACGAAGATAGAGATTTTAGGCATTACAGCTAACCAAGTTGTAACAATTGTTGGTACTCCGTCGTATACGTCAGGAGCCCAGTTGTGGAACGGAGCTGAAGCAATTTTGAATAAGAATCCAACAGTCATGATTACAAGACCAAGAATTACTCCTTGTGTAACACTGTCTAAAGGAGATGAAACAGATAGTAAACTACTGATAGCATCAAGGTTTGTTAGCCCTGTGTATCCGTAGATTAAACTAGATCCTAAAAGGATGAAAGCTGAAGATAAAGCACCAAGTAGGAAGTACTTCAGTCCAGCAGCTGTAGCAGACTCGTTGTTCCGGTAAAGAGCAGCAAGAATGTATACAGCGAAACTTTGTAACTCAATAGCTAAGTACAATGATACAAGATCAGTACTAGATACTAAGAATGAGGCACCAATTGTAGTGAATACAACGATCATTGGATACTCAGCAATTGTTGGTCGCACTGACTCCCCTTTAAGGTTAGCAGTGTATGCTGATGATGCTCATGATAGAAGAATTAGTCCTCCGACAATAAAGATAAAGAACTCAATTGCCATTGAAACTGTGCTAACATGGAATAATCCACTGTAAAGACTCACTCCGGATCCTAAAGTTGCAACGTAGTAAGCGTTGAACGATAAGGCCGCGGCCAAGAAGAATGTTACAGAAGTCGCACGTGTTAGCTGCATTTTCCACCCAGATGTGTTAGATGAATAGCTCGGCGATGTTTTAGATGAAAAAAGCGGTACCGCAATTAACAGAGATAATAGTGTAATAACTAGCATTGCGTATCCTGCAGACCGATTGATCAAACAACCTTTGGTCCCCGGCTGTAATTCCCCCAGAGGGGGGAATTTAAGAGCGGTAGCGAAGGGAAACGGGGAAGAGGGAAGGGACTCATGCGTGTCGGGTGGCCCGTTACTTTAAAAGTTTTACAATATATAAGAGAGACATCAACCCCTTAATATATACATATAAGAAAATAACATTATAAGTTCATAACGAAAAATGACATAAGTCCATATTATACGCAAGATCGGGATCGAACCGATGAGAACTCATTGGAAGTGAGCTATGTTACCACTACATCACATGCGCTATGCTTAAGCAATAATCATATTCTTATAGATATATATATGTCTATCTATTTATATCTGCAAGTTACACCCTACAGGACTCGAACCTATAATCTGCTCATCCGAAGTGAGACGCGTTACCAATTACGCTAAAGATGCTCTTGTTTTTCTACATACCTTAAGTAAAAGAGTAATAGAAGGGATAAGTCCCAAAACAAACCTTCCTTTTATTTATAATAAATTTGTAGTTGTATAAGAGATTAACTGCCTAAATCTATATTGCATTAATTTTACAAATGTAACGTATGTTTCTTATATATAACTTAAAGCTAATAGACAACGTCAAGATTTAATTTTGACTGCTTTTTATAAAGGGCCATAAAGCAATTCTACTGCTTAATATTATTGAATTTTAAGGGTAGTTTCCTGCTATTTTTTCCTATTTTTTCCCCAGCTACGCTGGGGGGGNNNAAACAGGAAAGGAGGTAAATTTATTATTTAAACATTATGCTTACAGCACTTATTCTTATTCCATTCCTAGGAGCTTTAACATTAGCACCTATGTCTGAGAGTACTCCTCTACAGATTTCACGAGTTAAGCGAGTAGCTTTACTTACAACTGTAGTAACTTTCATTCTATCAATGATTATGTGGGGTGAGTTCGACTCAAGCTCAAGCCAGTACCAGTTTACTGTTGAGTACAACCAACTTAGCTATCTGCACATGCACATGGGAGTTGACGGTCTTTCACTTTACTTCGTTCTACTTACAACATTCACAATGCCAATCTGTATCTTAGCAAGTTGGGAGAATGTTAAACACAACATCAAATCTTACATGATCGCTTTCTTAGTATTAGAGAGCCTTCTAATTGCGGTATTCGTAGTACTAGATCTATTACTATTCTACGTATTCTTCGAGTCAGTATTAATTCCTCTATTCATTATTGTTGGAGTTTGGGGAGCAAGTGCAGATCGTATCCGTGCTTCATTCCTACTATTCCTATACACACTATTCGGATCATTATTCATGCTATTAGCCTTCTTAGTAATCTTCTACCACGTTGGAAGTACTGACTTTGAGGTTCTATCATTAGCAGACATCAGTTTCGAGAGTCAACGATGGTTATGGTTAGCTATCTTCCTAAGTTTAGCTATTAAAACTCCATTACTACCAGTTCACATCTGGCTAAGTCGGGCTCACGTAGAGGCTCCAGTTGCAGCTTCTATGGTACTGGCTGGATTAATTCTGAAACTGGCTACATACGGTTTCGTACGAGTATTAATTCCATTCCTACCTGAGGCAACATCTTACTTCTCACCATTAGTACAAACTATCGCTGTTGTAACATTAGTGTACAGTTCATTAACTACACTACGACAAACTGACTTTAAAGTTCTTGTTGCTTACTCATCAATTGCTCACATGTCAGTTGTAGTTATTGGATTATTCTCTAACACACTACAAGGTATCGAGGGAGCTATTCTACTTGGAATTGCCCACGGTATTGTTTCACCAGCTATGTTCATGTGTGTAGGTGGAATTCTTTACGACCGATACCATACACGTGTAATCCGATACTACCGAGGTCTAACACAATACATGCCAGTATTCTCATTCCTATTCTTCCTATTCATTTTAGGAAACATGTCAACACCACTAACAGTAAACTGGGCCGGTGAATTAATGGCACTGATGGGTTCTGTACAACGTAGTCCATTAGTAGGAATCGCCATGAGTTCAGGTATCGTATTCTCTGCAGCCTACTCAATCTGGCTATACGCACGATTATGTAACGGATCTTGGTCTCCATACCTTGGATATGCTATCGATGTAACTCGACGAGAGTTCATGGTATTATTACCACTACTATTCACAATGTTCCTATTC